TATATAACAAAGTATTAAGATGAACTTTTGATATTGACCAAATACTTATTTTCCACCATAATTTGCAAATAAATTCTTTCCAAATCAGCCAATGTGATTGTCTGGATTTTTTTTCTCATTTTGTCTCTCATAGTTGAGATCTACCTATGATGCCAATTACAGGCCTCTCTCATCTTTTTAAGTGGGAGAACTTGCACAATTGGTGGCTGACTAAATACTTTTTTGCCCCACTGTATATCGCCATTTGTAAACGCTATAACTTCCACGTAAAGCAATTAATTTACACGTATTGGGATTTTTTTTTTTTTTAGCAAAGACATGTAGCAGAATACATTTTGGCTTAAATTTATGATGAAATTTGATTTTTTTTTAAATTTCTTTACTGGACATGTTTAATATCAAAAAGTCAAAAATATTGTTTTTTTCTCAAAATTGTCGATCTTTTTTTTTTATAGCACAAAAAGTAAAAAAGGACAGGAGATCAAATACCAGCAAAAGAAAGCTCAATTTGCGCAAAAAAAAAAAGGATGTAAATTTAATTTGGGTGCAGCGTTGCATGACCGTGCAATTGTCAGTTAAAGTAACGCAGCGCCGTAATGCCTGGTCCGGAAGGGGGATAAATCCTCTGGAGGGCAAGTGGTTAAGCACTTTACTTGTGTGGTTAATATGCTAACCATCACAGTATACATCTGTTTTTTTTTCTTCTTAGTGCAGCAAATATTTCTCTTGTTCTTGCATTGTTTTCCAATGCAGCACAATGTGAATGAGCCCTAAGAATTTTTTTTATGTCTTTGTCCCTATTGCAGATTTTTGCTCACTTCCTCTCTGGTGAAACCATTGTTAGCAGCACAGAGTACTTGGGGTAAATCTTTCTAAATGAGCCCTGGATAGCAGTGAAAATCTAACAGGGCTTTGAATCCGTCCCCATTCTATCCAAAACTAGAACAATAACATTTTTTTGCTTGACAAATATTTTCACTATTGTTTGTGGGTGCCCCTTGTCCTTGTGCTCATGTGACACAGATGTTCCCATCTATTTTTTATCATTGGAACCCATATTTATATATAACTTCCATAGCAAGGGTAACACAAAAATATGCCTTTGTATTGTTAGTGATATATGCTTGACACATACAGTACCCACCTGCTTAAGCCGGCCATAGACTGTTCAATTCTTGACCGGTTCAGCAGGAACTGGGTTGTGGGTTGAGTTACACTTTAAGTCAACTTAGTCCCATACTTTCACTGGCCAAACATAGAATTTCGCTCATTTTCAAGACAAGAAAATTCAAAGTTAAGGAAGCAGGATGGATAGTTTTTATTGAACAAATGAATTTCTAATATTGAGAGTGAAACTCCTTTCACTCCAAAATTGGCTATTAAAAATATTTTTTGGGTTTTTTAAGTACTTTGGAATGACAATCAACAAATCATTGAATATTAGTACAAATGGTTGTTCAAAAATGTAATAGTGTTTGTCCAGGCTTGAGCCTTAAAGAATATTCCTGATATGTGCCTGCTTTACCATGTACTTGTATGAAAAAGTGTCCTGTTCTCTTTGTATTGCATCCGATGTGTGAAATCCCTGGCGTTCCTGCCATTCCCTCTGGTTTCCTATGAAAAACTGACCACATGAGGCATGAGAGCACAGTTTGGTCAGTGTTCTGGCTGTGCTAGGGGTTAATTCAATGATAAGGCTTGTGCTGACATGCCCCCCCCACACACACTTGCACTGCCAATCACTGAGACCAGTGTACTGTAGTTTCTCCTCCCCTAGCTCTTATGCAGCTGAGAATAGAGGGTATGTAATCACTTATAGAAATGGTTATTTATGTTATTATGTTATACCTGTACATACACTATATTGCCAAAAGTATTGGGACACCCCTCCAAATCATTGGATTCAGGTGTTCCAATCACCTCCATGACCACAGGTGTATAAAATCAAGCACCTAGACATGCAGACTGCTTCTACAAACATTTGTGAAAGAATGGGTCACTCTCAGGGCTCAGTGAATTCTAGCGTAGTACCGTGATAGGTTGCCACCTGTGCAATAAGTCCATCCATTAAATTTCCTTGCTACTAAATATTCCACGGCCAACTGTTAGTGATATTATAACAAAGTGAAAGCAACTGGGAACAACAGCAAGGCAGCCATGAAGTGGTAGGCCATGTAAAATGACAGAGCGGGGTCAGCTCACAGTGTGCAGAAGTCGCCAACTGTCTGTAGAGTCAATAGATAAACACCTCCAAATTTCATGTGGCCTTCAGATTAGCACAACAACAGTGTGTAGAGAGAGCTTCATGGAATGGGTTTCCATGGCCGAGCAGCTGCATCCAAGCCTTACATCATTAAGTGCAATGCAAAGCGGCAGATGCAGTGGTGTAAAGCATGCCACCACTGGACTCGAGAGTAGTGGAGACGTGTTCTCTGGAGTGACGAATCACGCTTCTCTGTCTGGCAATCCAATGTCTGAGTTTGGTGGTTGCCAGGAGAACAGTACTTGCTTGACTGCATTGTGCCAAGGGTAAAGTTTGATGGAGGAGGGATTATGGTGTGGGGTGGTTTTTTTCAGGGGTTGGGCTTGGCCCCTTAGTTCCAGTGAAGGAAACTCTTAAGATGTCAGCATACAAAGACATTTTGGACAATATCATGCTCCGAAATCTATGGGAACAGGTTGGGGATGGCCCCTTCCTGTTCCAACATGACTGCACACCAGTGCACAAAGCACATCAACAAAGACATGGATGGGCCAGTTTGGGGTGGAGGAATTTGACTGGCCTGCACAGAGTCCTGACCTCAACCCAATAGAACACCTTTGGGATTAATTAGAGCGGAGACTGCAAGCCAGGCCTTTTCCTCTGACATCAGTTCCTGACCTCACAAATGTGCTTCTGGAAGAATGGTCAAACATTCCCATAGACACACTCCTAAACCTTGTGGACAGCCTTTCCAGAAGAGTTGAAGCTGTTATAGCTGCAAAGGGTGGGCCAACTCAATATTAAAACCTATGGACTAAGACTGGGATGCCATTAAAGTTGTGCGTGTAAAGGCAGGCCGACCAATACTTTTGGCAATATAGTGTATGTTGTTGCAGGTTTGCCTAAGGAGCCTCAGAACCTGGGATACCCACAGCAAGCAAACTTTGACTTTCAGCAAATATATATGTAGCACACTTTAAATTTAGCTCGATAAGATTTTTTTTTTAGTCACAGGCTTACTAGATGCCTGGAAGTGAAGCAGAGAGGTTAACTCAGGCTGAGAGGTTTTACAGGTCAGTGATTCTGGAGCACTCCCACACTTCTAGAAACTGTATCAACTTTCTAGAAGAGGGGCGAAGAAAGGGTAGGAAGCCTGGAATTGCATGTTTAGGGGAATTTGGCCAATCCGCAAGCAAGAGGCTGGGAATGGTGATTAAGAGCAACCCTTAAATGTGGGAGCGGTAGTTGTGTTCTGGTGGAAGATGGACCAAGGATGGTGCTGGAGTGCGGAGCCTGGGAGGGGGCCCCATGGAGGGGGCCTACCTATAGGAAAGGATCTCCACTGTACCACCATCTCCTAGGGAGGACATCATGTCAGCAGGGAAGAAGCAAGCCAGCGTAAGGCCTGTAAGCAGCTACTACTTCTACATCCCCTGGGCCAGAGAAGGGAGAGGGCGGTCAGCTGCAATACCCAACTAGTTCTCATCCGGGACTATTGAACTGCAGATCTTGGAATCCCTTGCCCAGGGATACCCTCAGGACAGCTGAGTGAAAGAGGAAGGATTCATCTGGGGACTGAGGAGGTACACCAAAGGGGACATCAGTGCTCCTTAAAGAAACAATTGCTAGTTTTTGGAGAAGTTGTCCTCAAGTTTTACAGTTCCTTTGGGCATTTCATATACCGCTAGACTACATCCAAGTTATTAACCCCTAATAAAACAAAACCAAGCTCAAGGACTATTTTAATGAGTCTGAGAAAAATTGTGGAAAATGCGTGTTGACTGGCTGTGCAGAACTTAGGGGGACCCATCAAAATCCAGCAGCCCTCAAGAGAGCACTGCTACATATATACTGTATGTTTTGCCTTTCATTTCTGATTTAAACTGAATGGGTTCTTTTACAAGGTGAAGGTTTACATATACTTTAAGTGACACTCTGCTCAGGTGTAAATGGGTACCCTTGAACGTGGTGTCAAGTGTTGAAATGCACACTCAGGTGTGACGGGGGCCTAATGCTGAATTCCAGGCCACCAGCGAAATACACAGTTGAAATACATATATAGGAGTGGTTTTACCTGCTGGAAGATTTGTATTCCTATCCATACAGTCCTATGATTTACTTAAACTCTATCACACAACACAGCCAGGTTGGTGACCTAACTATTCTTTACTGTATTTTAGCCATTCAATTAGGTCATCTGCCTGCCCCCTATCTGTTAGTGGACATACGCTCCTATGAGCTCTTCTCTCTCTACCTTTACAGCTGATTTTAGGAGGCTGATAACTTGGCAAATTCAGATATTTACACAAACTAGTTGCATTTCAAAAACATTAATGGCCAGTTCACACTACATGCGTTTCAGTTGCTTTTTTTCTGCATCCAAAACGCACAGAAAGTTGGCTATAAGGTTGTCAATGTCATTAGTGCTTGCAGTTTCAGGAAAAAAAAGTAGAACATGCTGCATTTTTTCTGCACATAACTGTACTGGAATGTGGTAAAATGCATCAAAATACATCAAAATGCACATGTCTGTATTTAGGGCCGGTACACACCATAGCAGGGGCGGACTGACAACTCATGGGGCCCCCAGGCAATAGGGGATCATGGGGCCCCTGTGTCCTCGCCCAAACTCAAAAAAGCCTATTAAAAAGGTACCAGGGGCATCTCATGGGGCCCCCTACTGACCCCGGGCCCTCAGGCATTGCCCAAGTTTCCAAATGGTCGGTCAGCCCCTGCACCATAGAAATGCAGTCCAGATGCTTTCCGGATGCGTTTTTGCATGCGCGTTTTTGGAGCGTTCCAGTGACTTTTTTACGCATTCCATTTCATTTTTCCCCTCAATTTAAATAGGGACATCTGTGTTCCAGTGCATTTTTGGTGCATTCCAGTTTGTTCTGGTGCGGTTTTGGTGTGTTTTTACCAAGTTCCAGTGCAGTTCTGTACAGAAAAAATGCAGCATGTTCTACTTTTTTCTCTGCAACTGGAACGCGCTGGAACTGCAAGCACTGATGTGAACTATGACATTGACAACCATATAACCTACTTTCTGTACATTTTGGATGCAGAAAAAAAAGCAACTGAAACAGTGTGAACTGGCTCTTAAATTGAAGGAAAAGAGAGGGAAAAAAATTAACTGGAATGCATAAAAAAAACGCACTGGAATGTGTCAAAAACGCAAAAAATGCACCAAAAACACCCATGCAAAAATGCATCCGGAACGCATCTGGACTGCATTTCTGTAGTGTGAACCAGCTCTCAGGGGCTGTTGACACCTGATGTGGTGGGGCTGTGCTGGCAGCTATTTCCAGCACAACCCCAACACATAGGCAAGGTACAATGCGTTGCTTTGAATGGTGTCATTGGGGTGAGCTGAGTTTTTTCAGTGCATTGGGTTGCAACGTGAATCATATGTGGAAATGTGGTCACATGCAGTGGTGTAGTTAGGTTTCGTGCTAGGCAACACAAAAATTGGCTTCCCCCATTGACCAACAACACCCCAGCCCCCCCACCCGAGAGAGCCTTCCATTACCATCGCCCCCCATACACTGGCAACCCCCACCCCGAAAAGAGATAAGACACTCACCTTCACAGCTTCGGACAACCCCGGGAACAAGAGTCAGACTCTGCATACACCTTCAAGCAGCCTCTCTCAGATCCTACCTGGTCCCTGTGCTTCGTGTTTCCCTTCTTCCTTTCCTTCTTTCGCGGGACAGAGCAGCCCCATGAAAAATGCTGCTGCCCCCCTGAAAAATGTCGCCCTAGGCAAATGCCTTGTTTACCATGTGGTAAATACACCCCTGGACACATGTATATTTTGTAAATGCATATGTACATGGACAGCATGCTGTCATACTGATTCATTACATATGCAACCAACACGTCGCAGTTAGTGGTGTTGCACTCTGGCTGTTGTGAGTCTTGTGTCTGAGAAACAATGCACTTTGTGTGGCTTATCCTGCAATGTTAGTATCTCTTCTGCAGGGTTCTGTATAGTGACATATAGGTTTGCACTTTAGCCTTGCAGCACTGGGATCTCTAATTTGAATCCTGTTCAGGACACTATCTGCATGGAGTTTGCTTTGTTTGTGATTGTATGGATTGCCTCCTATGCTCCGAAGACATACTTGTAGGTAAATAGTTTTATCATTTCAAGATTAAAGCAAACTTTTTTTGCATGAATCACCAAGGTTTTGATAACTTCTCTTATCTGTCTGCTTTATTGCAGACATAAATTCTTGTACTTTTCTCCAGTCTGTTCCAGTAAATTTTAATAAAACTGAATTCCAGGTATGATCTTTATTTTTTACAGGTACTTATATAGTGCAGTCAATTTAAGCAGCGCTTTACAGATATACATAAAGTGCTAAGGTCCCTAACTCACATTCTTACAGGAGCCAATTAACCTACCAGCATGTCTTTGGAGTGTGGGAGGAAACTGGAGTACCCGGAGGAAACCCACACAGGCACAGGGAGAACATGCAAACTCTAGGCAGGTTGCCATGGTTGGGATTCAAACCAGCAACCCTAGTATTGCCAGGTGGAAGTGCTAACCATTTAGCCACCATGCTGCCCATAAAGGTTGTAAAGGTACATTGGTAATGATGTAAGTATACATATCTCATTCCTAAGGGACCTTAGTGGAAGGTGACATTCACTGTAGTAGTCACCGCTACCACTGTGATCACCAGGTCCTGTGCCGAGCAGCTTCTCTTCTGCATAGCGTGCACAAGGAGTTGCTCATTTGGCTCTGCCACTGTTCACAGAGCACCTTGTATTCTTTTTAAAGAGTACAAAGCTTTCTCTGATTGGACAAGGTAGAAATCCTGACGTCACAGCCCCGCCTCTCGAAATAGAGAATGCCTTATAGTCACTAAAAAAATACAAGGCATTTTGTGAATGGTGACTACTACAAAGATTCTCCACTTCCACAGGGAATGCTGAAGTATGAGACCTCCATACTTATATTGGTACAAGCTGGACCAATGTATCTACAGTATGCAATACAATTCTTAACTTCAGCTTTAAAGTGAACCCGAGTTTTGTGCATGCAAATCAGTTACATTGGGCCCCTACACACTGATCTATTTCTCCAGTGATTTGTCCTGCTTAAAAGCGCAATAAAAACACAATAAAAATATTTTCCTTTAAATCTTAAAGCGGCTCTCCACCCAAAATGGGAAGTTCCAATTTAAGCCTTTGTCCCCCGCTCCCCATTAAGGATTGGCACCTTTGGGGGGCGGGGGGGAGTGGGTACCCGAATTTGACAGGTACCCACTCCCATTGTGATCGCCTAGGCGTTCGGAAGTGGAAGTTGTCCTCCTCCCTCCCCATAGTCTTCTGTGACACGATTTAGGTCCCAGAAGACTACGGGCCATTCACAAAGCGCAGCACTTCTCGCACATGTGCAATGGGCACCTGGCTGTGAAATTGCAAGCTGTCACAGCCGAGTGCCCACACTGAAGATGATGGGGAGAGAACACAGCCGGTGAAACCAGCCGTGGAGAAGACACTGCTGGACAGATAATCATCTGTACTTGAAAAGTTCTGCAGCTACAGTGTTTTTTTTTTTCAGCTGGAATTCCGCTTTAAGAAGCTCTTCACACCAGTGCACTACATTTTTTAAAATCCAACATGCTGCATCTTTGGTGCCCTGTTTGCAAATCACATCAAAAATGCATTGAAAACGCAATATGCATTGCACTAAATTTAGTGCAACGCATCAATAATGAATGTGCATTTTACTGCTTTTCCCAAAGGAGCAGTGTAATAGGGCCCTTATGGAAGAAAGACCTCGGGTCAGGTGACCTGCCTAGACTGTACTAGACATGTGCAAAAGGAAAAAATCGTTTTGTTTCAATTTATTATTTAAATAATTTTGTTTCAATTTATTATTTAAATCATTTCTTTAGTTAAATTATTTTAATTCATTTTCAGAATATGTTTAATCTCGTTGCGTTTATTCGTTTTCTAATTCAAATTCAATTTCAACGGAGTGGAACAGTATAGAATCAGCATTCCAATTCTAATTTATTCTATTCAAAATTTGAATTTCAGAAGTCGGTTATAGTCTTTCTATTCTATAGTCTTTTCTATGCTATTCCTTTCTTTTCTACTCTATACTTTTCTATTCTAATCAAAATCAAATTTAATCTATTCAAAATTCAAATTTCGGAAGACGGTTATATTCCTTTCTGTTTTAATCTATTCTATGCTATTTCTTTCTATTCTATTATTTTATTTTGTGTTCTTTTCTATTCTAACCTATTCTATTTAACTTCCAATATATTCTATTCGACCTGACTGTCTATTGTAGTTAACAAGCTCCGGTCAAGTGTACTGCATCTATGAGTCTCCATTTGTAAATACCCCTATCTCACAATGCCTTTGATCCCACCATCTGTTGTAAGAGGGAAGGATTGCTATTCAAGGAAAGAGGGGGTTAAAGTGCCACTGAACACCAATGTTGTGGGATTGTTTTGGAAGGGGAGGCTTAACATGCTAATGGCCACCAATGAGGATGGTGGTGTGTTTTAAAATGCTACTGACCACCAAAGATAGAGTAATTGTCAGTCAAGCTATCACATCACTAAAAAAATGATTGCCTGTTTTAATGGCAATTTTAAGCAACAGATGTATTGGCTTTTTAGCAGGTCTTACTGTAAATCAGATTGGCCTTAGTCACAGCATTAACATAGAAGTGTTTTCCTCTTATTTTCTTTTGTTTTGGAAAGTGAGGGAAATGATTACATCCAATGCCAGTTATTATTGCTGTGTCTCTAGATCACATATGTCAAACAAAAAAGCCCATGATAGAGTCTGGCCCACCTGCCCATTTCATGTGCCCTCTCGACTCTCCTTCAGCTATGGCACCCACCTCGTCTCCACCCCCACTTTGTCTCAGCAGTCTGCAGAACTCTGTCTTCCACCCCCACTTTGGAGCAGTCTGCAGCAGAGGGAGGACAGAACTCTGCTGATCCTGTGCTTCTCCCTGAAGCCATGGAGAGGCTCATTTCTGCCCTCCCCACCTCTCAGAAGTCAGCAGCAAAGACTCCCCCTAAAGATCCTGTGCCTCTCTGTGCAGCCACACAGCACCCCCTCTCCTCCGCTTCCCTTGGTCTCAGCATTCAGCAGACTCCAGCCCTCCTCTGGTTCTCCTCCAGACTCTGCACTTTCTGCTTCCCAGCGCCACCTCCAGCTTCTTCCAGGCAGCAGCACAAAGTGAGGAGTGGTACACTGTGATGTAATGGTGGGTGGATGAATCTTGCCTTCTGATAGTGCTCTAGACATCTAGTCTTACAGACAGGGGCGGACTGACCATTTGGAAACTCGGGCACTGCCTGAGGGCCCGGGGTCAGTAGGGGGCCCCATGAAATGCCCTTGGTACCTTTTTCATAGCCTTTTTTGAGTTTGGGCAAGGACACAGGGGCCCCCATGATCCCCTATTGCCCGGGGGCCCCATGAATTGTCAGTCCGCCCTGCTTACAGATACAACCAGCCCTTTGAGGGCAACCATATAATGCTGATGCAGCCTGCAATGAAATTGAGTTTGACACTCTTGCTCTAGAGGGAGCTGAGGAGCCTAGGAGATACATAAGTCTGTAACAACAGATACAATGTACCAATTTTAGAGAATTAGCAAATAAATGTAATTGATGCCTGTAATAAAAGAACATTTGCTCAGAAGTGAAAATAGACTAAAAAACATTAGTTTGGCCAATTCACGCAGGGCTAATTAGACTCCACAAAATAAAGATGAATAATTCCATAGTCCCAAGATAAGTACTGGGATGGTACATTTTAGTCCACAACAAAAAGACTAATAATTCTGTAGTTCCAAGGTAAGTATTGTGAGGGCTAATTAGACTCCACAGCAGAAAGAATAATTGTTCTGTAGTCCCAAGATAAGTACTGGGAGGGCAAGTTAGACTCCACAACATAAAGACGAATCATTCCGTAGTCCCAGGTAAGTACTGTGAGGGCTAATTAGACTCCACAGCAGAAAGAATAATCATTCCGTAGTCCCGAGGTAAGTACTGGGAGGGCTAATTAGACTCCTTGAGATAACACATGAAGTATGCACAGGAAATAGGACAGCTCTGAGTTTCT